CCTTCTAGTAAGTTGTATTAATTATTATCTTTTACAACAGAAAAGAATATTAAATTGAATTGTTTTATTTTATAAAAATCTTTAATTCGCCAAAATTTTAGTCATCTTTCAATCTATTTTCTCAACTAATACATAAGTAATTTTCTGTCTTAAAAAAAAGCCTCTTTAATTGAGATTACTGGTAGATACTTTTAATATACTTTTGTTACTAGTAGATATTTAAATGTAAAATGCTGTATTTAATTGAAGCATTAGTTTGAGATATTGCAGAGGTGACAACTTTTAGTATTTATCCGTAATTATAACGATTATACAGATTCCCAATTATTACAAATAATTAAAATTACGTTTTTATTTTGTAATTATTTGTTTAAAACACAATTATTTTTACCCTAACTAGAGTACGCTAATATATTATCAACGATATTTTTCTATATTCCTAAAACTATTATACTATAATAAATAATTATAATAGATAATACAATTCTACTAACAGAGAGATATAATAGGTCTAAGAAAGAATTTTTAGGCACCAAAAAAAAAAAAAAAAAAAAAATGGAATGAAAAAGAAATTCTCCTTCTAACAAGTCCTAATAGGAAAACAAGGTAACACGAACTTAAACTGAAATTTTGTGAGCAAAAGGTTTTAGTGGTTCAAATGCAGAATGATAGATAAGGGCTAGTTCTAATTTAACCAAAAACTATAACTGATTCCAAGTAATCAATTTAATTTTTAATTTAGTATCCCTATCTAAGCGTTGTCCCTCAGTGGACTGATCATTAAGACACGGTTCTCAGTAGAATACCGAAGTCGAGCATGATTGGCTGCGGTCAGCAAGCGGGTGGGTGGATCACTTTAATCAGCCTGCGTAGGGACCGATGGTGCGCGGTATCGGTCCTCGTTTAACTATACTACAATAAAGTGCTCGACTTCGTTCGCATATCGTCGGGGTACCAAAACAAGGGAGCAATCCTCTCTGCTGAAAATCAAAATTGCGATTGTATGTCTTCGGATCATCCTCAGGGATGTTTCCCAGAACGTCGACAATGGCCCATTGTGCAGCTCCAGTACGACGTTACTAAAGTACCTACCTACATACCTTATCTAAGCGTTACTTTTTCTATTGGTAATTTCATCCGTAATTTTATTAATGTATACCTATATAGAATTAAATAGTATATACTCCATAAAATTGAACTCCATAATTTGAATTTCGTAACCGCTAATTGTATACATTTCTATTTTTCTGCGTTATTGTATTTCTGATCACTGAGAACAAAAGTTAGGAAAGTTTTATTGCTGAAATCTTAATTTTCAATTTTTAGTTACAGTTTTATACGAGAGGCCGAAAAGCAAAATGTTATAAATAACCTTTCAGTTGCGTGGTTTTTTTTTTTTTTTCTTAAACAATTTAATATGAATTTTTGCTAAGATTGTTGTAACCAATGATCAAGAGATAACAAAAATCATGATTTTTAAAATAAAAATAGGATTTTTTTTAAAAATTAAAATACAATTTTTTTTAACATTTACATCATAATTTTTGTTTAATTTATAAAATTATGCCTAAAATACTTATAATTTGCAACAAAAATGTTGCTATGATTTTTTTCCCTTCTCTTTTTGCAAGGTTTTCAAGCGTAAGGCTTCAAAGTATGAATATTCACATCAATTCTTGAAAAACATGGTAGCTGTATTTCTAAAAATATTTAATGCATATGTTTTATTTTCAGTTGATCATAAAACAATTCACCAACTAAGTAAATGAGCTTGTTAAAAAACCTTTTTTTTAAATATTCAGAACTGAAAGTTACAAAAACCTTCTATTTTGTGCACTTTTTCCGTTTCAATATGCGGCTTTGGTAATATAAATTTCGAAGTAATCTTAACCCTGATTGTTACAAAATTCCAAACAAGTTTAACTACTTTTTTTCTTTGTATTTTCTTAAATGCATGTTGTATTCAAAAATTATTCTGAGTCTAAATAAATGCATACTGCTTTTCCGGTAAACGATTATGTTAATCTGTCGTTATGGGAGGTTAATTTTGTAACAGATGTCTGATAGCTTATTCTTTGCAGATGTCAGAGCGGAAACCTAATATAGGCAGATGTTTTTCAGAACTCGCTGCTGGGGAGTTCTATTTTGCCATGCAATTATATATATATGTATAATTGCATATATATAATATAAAAAAAAAAGCGTGGTTGCAACATGACGAACTAGATTTTGAGATAAGCGGCTTGTTGTCAAGCATCCTGTTCCTTGTTATTTTTTCTTTTCCGTTAATGCTATCATTTCTAAAATAGAATTTCAGAGCACCAGTAAAAAAATTGATTTTCAATTGAAGGAAAAATAATAATAATTGCATTATAAAAGTATTATATATAATTAAGTATTAAAGTATTATATATAATTAAGTATTAAAGTATTATATATATAAGAGTATTATAACTGCATTATATAATTTTTTGTCGCTTAGGTTGATTTTTTCCTTTACACGGCAGTATTGTGTTTCAATGCTGTTAATTTTAATAGCAAAACATGTGATAGATCATTTCTATATGCATTAATTACTCAAATTTTGTTAAGAAGTTCAAGCATAGGAGTAGACTCCCATATTTACTTAAATTAATAATAGCATAATTTATTATGCAAGGATATTCCACTTCCTGCTTGCTTCGCTCACCAACCCCCATGATTGCATTTGAAAACTACTTGAGAAGAAGACCTAAACTTAGAAATATGTGACACAATAATAAAAAATAAATGAGCAGTAATTTTAGTTAATCTATAAAGATAACCTTAAACAGTTCAAATTGCAAACGGTTTTTCTCTCTTGAAATTTTTTAGAAAATTTCGAAATAAATGTTTCGATTTATATCACTGTCTTATCTGTTTTATTTTGCGTGTTTTTATTAATTTATTTTGTTGCTTTAGTCATCAAGTCAAGCGTGAGCTTGTAAAATGAACACCAGGAGAGATTTTTCGACTATAATTTATAAATAGACGTTATTTAATACAAAGGAAAATGGAAAACAATTGCGAAAAAACGTAAAATTAAAATAGCTTTTAAATTTATTGAAATTTCCGCATGAAAAAAAAATAAAAAAAAACTTTGCGCTAAGCTTAGGAAATGAAATGGCCCCTTTTAGCAAGTCAATTTTCAACTCTGTTGTTGAATTCCATTAGGTGATCGGCCCACGTTTATATAATTTTTTTTTTATTAACAGCTAAAATTTTTTGAACAAAAAGTAAAATCTTTTTTAATTTTACCCTTCGGCAAAATGGGTCTTAGTTAGGATTTGATGACGTCCACACACTTGTCAAATGTGTTCAAGAGTTATAGTAAACAATGCTCATGTGTCGTCATTGCATGCGTTACTATGGCGACCACTGCGGTTTATTTTCACTAGCAAGCATTTGTGATGTATTTACATAATATTAATTTGAAGTATTTTAATATTCTTTTTATTCTTAACGTATAATTACTGGCTTTAATATGATATAAATTTTATACGGTGATTTTAATATAAATATAAATGCTGAAGAAGGAAAAGTATTTCATGACGACTTGAAACACGTGCATAGGCAGGATATGAAAATCAATCCGACGACAAACATCAATGGAGACAGTTTTTGCAACCCATGATTAGAGATGTTATTGCGTTTAACGGAGTCCATCCACAAAGAAAAACCATTTGACCAATGGGTAGCCAGTGTTCGTAATAAGGCTATCACAACCTTTTATGTTGATTTTTTTTAAAAATTATTTTTTTATTTTATTCCATTTACACATTTTACCTTATTCTACACACCTTCGTACTTAACAATTTTTCAGTTTTAAAAATTTTGCTCAGCAAAATAACGTAAAAAAAAAAAAAAGTTAGCAAGTAATTCTCTAACAATTGCAATAATTTCCGAAATAATTAATATTTTTAAAAAACCTTGTTTAAATTAACAATCGAAAATGGTCCTTTTAGTACGTCTAATTTCAACTATGTGGTGGCATTTCTGCGACTTGCATGATTTTTTTTTTAACAGCAAGTTTAACAGTTGGTTTTTGTACTCATAGTTATTGAATATATTCTACCGGCCTCTATTCTTCATGGTCACGCCTTAAACCACTGGATATATGATCTCTCGCATATTATTCTTTTTGAAAATAATTTATATTTTTTTAAAAAAAAATAGAGTTCAAGTTAAAAGAATAATCTGTATATATTTACATATTTTCAATGTTAGAGTTATGACTCAACTACATAATATAAATTCTCCTAAATTTTAAAACCAAAGTGAGTAAAATAATAAATTTATTAATTAATAAGTTAATTAATTATAATAGATTAATTATAATAAATCTAAATATCTTTAATGTTATTATTTTATTTGAAAATTATTATTTTTGAAAATTGAAAAATAGTGTTAAAACTAGTAATTGTTAAAAATTATTATTATCTTTTGGTTAAATAAAAATAGAACCATGACGATATTTGTCTTACCCGGCACCGAAATCGTTGACATATCCTCGTTAACTGCACTCACGTGTAAACGTTCTGGATTTATTATTACCTTTTTAGAGGACTATATGCACTACAGAATATATTTGAACTTAGAATATTTTTGTAGAACTTTTTTTGTGGAACTTTTTAACATTTAAATATGTTATAAATTAGTATTGAAGAAAAAGGGCGTCTCAAACGCATGTACACAATTTTCAAAATTATTTATATCTTATCTACTAATATTTACGTTATGTGATTCGTCTTCCCCGCCCTTAATATGTGTTTTTAGAATCCATGCCAGAAATGTTTATAAAAAGAAAAAAACATGCTCCTTTAAGAGTCGAAATTTGATATTTAAATCTCAAATTTTTATATAACACTTTTTATTTTTCCGAGCTCAAATATTAATAATAATCCCTAGTGAATGATTTTTTCTTCAAATAAGTCCAAAAAGTCTAAATGCATTTATTAAGATCTGTTACTATAGATCTTCCTCGATGTGTCTCCACCTTGTCGTGGTGAGGAAGCTTACGACACTGCTGAGGATAACATTTCCTTATAGCAGATGTCAAACTAAGAGAGACACCTAATTATGTATTATTTTCGTCATAATTTCCAATAAAATTGGTTTTGAACTTTTTTTTTTAATAAATGAAGAAATAATGGTTCAAAATATTACCAAAAATTACATTTCTTGATGTGCCTCAACCTTCTAATTTGGAAGCTTACGACAGGGCTGAGGTGGACAGTTTCTTCAAGCAGATGTCAAACTAAGACATCACATATCGTATTTTTATCATATATTTCTAAAAAAAAAATATATGAAGTTGACTTTCAACCTTGTACAGCTAGAAAAGAAGCACAAATAATACCTCTAGAAACTACATTCCTCGATGTGTCTCCACCTTGTGGTGAAGTTTACGACACTGCTGAGAAAACATTTGCTTAAAGCATATGTCAAACTAAGAAAGACACCATTATTTTCGTCATAATTTCCAATAATATTGCTTTTAAACCTTTTGAACATAATGGTACAACAAATTACATTTCTTGATATGTTCGCACCTTGTATTGAGGAAGCTTACGACGCTGCTGGTGAGAACACTTTCTTCAAGCAGATATTAAACTAAGACATTTCATTTTTTATCATATTTTCAAAAAAAAAAAATTTATATATATGCAACCCTTATATAACACAAAATATTAATTCTAGAAACTACATTCCTCTATGTGTCTCCACCTTGTCGTGGTGAGGAAGTTTGCGACACCGCTGAGAAAAACATTTTCTTAAAGCAGATGTCAAACTAAGAGAGACACCTAATTATGTACTGTTATCGTCATAATTTCCAATAAAATTGATTTCGAACCTTTTTTTTTGTTGACTAAATAAAGAGATAATGGTACAAAATATTACCAAAAATTACATTTCATGATATGTTCCCACCTTGTATTGAGGAAGCTTATGACACTGGTGATGAGAACACTTTTTTCAAGCAGATGTCAACGTAAGAGAGACATCTCATTTTGTATTTTTATCATATATTTTCAAATATATATATACGAACCTTATGCAACCAGAAAAGAAACACAAAATATTAATTCTGAAAACTACATTCCTCTATGTGTCTCCACCTTGTCGTGGTGAGGAAGTTTACGACACTGCTGGGAAAAACATTTTCTTAAAGCAGATGTCAAACTAAGAGAGACACCTAATTATGTACTGTTATCGTCATAATTTCCAATAAAATTGATTTCGAACCTTTTTTTTTGTTGACTAAATAAAGAGATAATGGTACAAAATATTACCAAAAATTACATTTCATGATATGTTCCCACCTTGTATTGAGGAAGCTTATGACACTGGTGATGAGAACACTTTTTTCAAGCAGATATCAAACTAAGAGAGACATCTCATTTTGTATTTTTATCCTCTATTTCCAAACAGAAAAAATACGAAGTTGACTTTTAACCTTATACAGCTGAAAAAATAACACAAAATATTTCTAGAAACTACATTCCTTTGCACCTTGTCGTGGTGAGGAAGTTTGCGACACTGCTGGGAAAAACATTTTCTTAAAGCAGATGTCAAACTAAGAGACACCTAATTATGTATTATTTTCGTCATCAATTTCAAATAAAATTGGTTTCGAACCTTTTTTTTGTTGACTAATTAAAGAAATAATGGTTCTAAGTATTACCAAAAATTACTTTTCTTGATTTGGCCCAACCTTCTAATGTGGAAGCTTACGACACGGCTGAGGTGAACACTTTCTTCAATCAGATGTCAAACTAAGACATCACATTTCGTATTTTTATCCTATATTTCCAAAAAGAAAAAAATACAAAGTTGACTTTTAACCTTATACAGCTCAAAAAATAACACAAAATATTTCTAGAAACTACATTCCTCTGTGTCTCCACCTTGTGGTGAGGAAGCTTACGACACTGCTGAGAAAAACATTTTCTTAAAACAGATGTCAAACTAAGAGAGACACCAATATTTTCGTTATAATTTCCAATAAAATTGCTTTTAAACCTTTTTCGACTAAATAAAAATAAAATGGTACAAAATATTACCTAACATTATTTCTTGATATGTTCCCACCTTGTATTGAGGAAGCTTTCTTCAAGCAGATGTCAAAGTAACAGTGACATATCATTTCGTATTTTTATCATATATTTTCAAAAGAAGTATACGAAGTTAGTTTTGAACCTTATACACCTAGAAAATAAACTCAAAATAATATTTCTAAAAACTACATTCCTCGCTGTGTCTCCACCTTATGGTGAGGAAGCTTACGACACTGCTGAGAAAAACATTTTCTTAAAACAGATGTCAAACTAAGAGAGACACCAATATTTTCGTTATAATTTCCAATAAAATTGCTTTTAAACCTTTTTCGACTAAATAAAAATAAAATGGTACAAAATATTACCTAACATTATTTCTTGATATGTTCCCACCTTGTATTGAGGAAGCTTTCTTCAAGCAGATGTCAAAGTAACAGTGACATATCATTTCGTATTTTTATCATATATTTTCAAAAGAAGTATACGAAGTTAGTTTTGAACCTTATACACCTAGAAAATAAACTCAAAATAATATTTCTAAAAACTACATTCCTCTCTGTGTCTCCACCTTGTCGTGGTGAGGAAGCTTACGACTCTGCTGGGAAAAATATTTTCTTAAAGCAGCTGTCTAACTAAGAGAGACACCTAATTACGTATTATTTTCGTCTTAAAAATATTGTTTCATCAATAAAAAAATATATAAAATTGCTTTTGAATCTCTTTTGACTAGATAAGAAAAAAATTATATTTTATATAGTTAGATTCAATTGAGGCAGGCTTACACCCGGAAACGTGAATCTATACATAATCATGATATGGATTTAGTACTTGTGTGTGTCGCAATGTTATTGCAAATATAATGCATTAAAATTTGAATTTAAAAAAAATATTACCTAATTTTCAGAATTGCAACCCGCTGTTTCAAAGAATTATATTTTCTTCGTCTGTAAAATTTCTCAGATCATCCCTAACATACCAGTGCGGCTTCAGAAGATTCAAACTTCTATTAGCGTCTGTGGTGTTTTGCAAAACACCTCTTATACGCATTATTTCTAAAAACATATATAATGATAATAATTAATACAGATACACGCATTCATATAAATCAAGTACGTTGTTTAACAAAACGTAGAATATGTGAAGAAAAAAATATAAACATCTGAGGACTAAACTGTCTCGGACTCTCAAGAGGAGTACTGGGTCGTGGACAACGGTAATATGGCTTTGTCCACCACGTTTAAACGATTCCATAGTACGACTTTCGGAACTATAACTCCCTGTTCGAAAGCATATCTATTTCTATGCGTTGACTTTAATCCTCACTAAAGCACAATTTATTTAACTTTTCAAATTCTCCAATTTGATTGAAAGACATTAGAAGCTTTATCCCCTTGGGTTTTAAAATATCTCTTATATTTCCAAGTTTTGTTTGTGTGTGTTCAACTGGGATACAGACAAGCTGCTACGCAAGAAAGAAATCAATTCTGATGAATACAATCGACATTAATTAATACTTTTTTTTTCTAGTTAGCAGGCAGGTCGATGAAACCACAAACACCTCTGTAGTCTACTCTTTAATTTCTAAAATGTAAATCTATATGGATTCTTTGTTTATTTATCCAACCGCTACCATTTTTTTAAAAAAAATTCTCAATCGAGTTCAATATATTGATGAATGCTTTGTCTACTACTGGCATAATCTGAAAACTGGATAGTATTCGATCAGCATAATCGAACGTTAGATTTAGCTCATTTATTTCATCTTCATCAATCACTTTGCTATATAGAACATTCAAGCAAATGATGAACTGCAGTTACACTTCCGGGTAACTATTTATGACTATCTATTATGAGAGAAGAGTGAATAAAAATTAAGAGAGGCGAGATTTTAAGTGAAGATGAAGAGAGGATAAAGTCAGTGAAAACAACAATTTAAAATTTGCTTTGCCGTTCGTCGCTGCGTTTATTTTTAATGTGACTGGTATTGTTTCTAATTAAAGAATCCAAATTAAAAGTTATAATTATATTTTATTTACTTAATCATTATACTATCATATAAGGAGGAGGATGACCACACTTACCTATAGCTGCTCGTATTGAGAGTCTCGCTTGAAATCGGACTGAATTGTCTGTATTGTGCGTATTTCCTCTTTTTATGGAGTTAATTTATACATTTTATTTCAAGGAGTCAAACATGATCTCGTGGTCTTATTCAACATCCGACGGTCGACAAATCAAACATAATCTTGTGACAAATTTCTAGAAAGTTAAAAGTTCAACTGACCATTGTAATTCGATTGCGAGATGAGATCACGGGATCTTAATCAACTGTTTAATTAGCTAAAGATTAACAAGTTTGACGGCGAGAATTGTCACAAGGCAACGTCGTGACATTTACAATATTATATACATTATATTTAGCGGTTAAAAAAAGAGTAGTGCTTACCAGATATAAATGTAGTAATGGTATAGCCGTCTAACTCATCCATGAACTCCCCTAGAAAATTTCCGAGTGCGGGATTATTATTTCCATCTTGAGCGTAGATGATTGAATCGGTATCATGACATAGTACCGATTCTCCAAGCTTCGTAAAGCGTGAGGATAATTTAAACCACACGCTTGGTGTGCGAATCCCCTTATGTATCTTTCGTTAAAATGACAGACCCTCACTTTTATTTCACAGTAGACCGCCGCAAATTTTTACATCGGAATTTTTTGAAAACATTTTTAGCATGCATATATTCATCATCACTTATAGGTTCATTATTCAAAATGTTAAATAAATGACGCTTTAGACGGTTAGCGAGTCTCTTGAAGTTTATTAATATCGTCTAAATATGAATATGGAAAAAAAACATTTTCTCAACAACAAATTACTATTTTCCTTGTCTTTGAAAAACTTGTGAAAAATTTTGAAGTCGTGTCCAGATTCAATTAAATTTTTTACTAAAATGTCCAAAGAAGTGTTTAGAAACTGGTACGCGTCTATGATTTTGATCGCATCTAAACTGATAGTGGTAAATTTCTCCAAGTTAACTGGTATGATTTTTATTTGCTTAAAAAGGTTTGCAGGAAGATTTTTCAAAATTAGATGCGTATCATAACTTTTCGAATTATGGATGACGAGCGGAATGAAGTACGTCGTACGATAATTTAAATGACACTCTTGGTGTGCTAATCCTCGTATGTATCCTTCCTTTAAATGACAATGGTCCCTCACTTTTATTTCACCTTTTTTAAAAGTCTTGTTGCATATGTGACACACATTTGGATCGATATATGCATCAGGATTGCCTCTCATAGGCGCTATACCCGTCATTAATTCCAAAATTTTGTTAGATATTTCTCTCAGAGTTATGAGAAACGTCTCTATTACGTTGGTACCCACATTAAATTCGTGGAAAATAGGATTTGAGTCATTATCTAAAACAAGCATAGAATAACTGACCGGCTCGTGTCGTCCTACGTGCATAGTAAAACTTGTACTGGACGAAGGAGCAACCGAGTACAATTTTGTTGTCAAACACTCAAAATATGCTTACACTACATATGGATGCCATGACATTTGTGTTAAATTGGAAAATTTAAGCATCTGAGATTTTTTAGGCATAGAAATTTTTTGCGGTTTATTATTCAAACACATCCGCTTATGATATATCATGGTTTCGGGTCTTTAAAAGCTGCTAAAACAGCGTTTGCAACAATAGTGAGTCCCATTTTTTTCACACATGAAACGATTAAAATTTTTTATAAGAAAATAATGATTTCTATAGAGTAACAAGTCGATTTCTATGAATGATTTTCCAAGTTCACTGATTCGTATGGGTAAAACTTGTCCGTCCGTGAAACCGTAAACGTTTATTTTAAGATTGTTTTGCTTTTCAAATTTCGATATTTTATTAAGGGTGATGGGAAACTTTATACCGGCAACATCAAAGTTTTTCAAATATCTAGTATATTTGGATTTTCTTATTGCATTAACTCGACATGGATACAAACAAGCGGCTACGCTGTAAAGAAAGCATTGGTTGTCGTTGCAATCAATATTTATAACGGCCTTTTTATTTCTTAACTTTTTGGGGAGGACGATGTGTCCGCAACCACCTCTTAAACTGGCATAGTTGCCTAAATGAACATCGATGTAAGAAACCTGTTTGATAACCCACCCGCTTCCGTTCCTGACAAAGTTATCTATAGAAGTCAAAATTTTTGTAAATGCGCGATCTATAGCTTCGAAAATTTGGAAACGAGACAAAATTCGTTCTGCAAATGAGCAAAAGTAGAAACTCTGTATAAGTTCGTTATCCTCGTCTTCATCGTTCATTATTTTAGAAAAAATAACGTTCAAACAAATAATTAAGCGCAACCTTAAAACAGGGCTCTGGTCTATGAGGTTAAAAATTAGAGCTCGGGCTTCGTTATAGAGTACATGAGGATCACCATAATTGGTGAAAGCTCTGTATGTGCGCGTAAATCTCCCGAAGGACGATCTTCGCATTTCGAAATTCATTATTTTTTTAAACAAATACAAATTTTTAAAAGCAAACAGTTAATAATCAAAATACATTAATACAGTCAATAGCACTTTAGATTTAAAAACAAATAGAGTTTTAAAGAATACACATACAATAACAGGTAGATATTGTCACTTTAGATATTTAAAATTCATTATAACACATAAGCAAAAATTATGTCACTTTAGAAGATGTATCATGTTAAAAAAAATGGGTTATAAACATTTTGTATATAATAATTTTTTCAAAATAAAACTCTCAAATTTCTCAATCAGGCAATAAATTTATTGCGAGGTATATTGAGCAATGTGCTCGTGCAATCTTTCGATTGCCAGTTTGAATTTAGATATTTGATCAATGGGGAAATTAAGGCGATTTTTTATGTCGCCTACGTCACCGGTTTTTCGGAGACCCACGTATTGAACCGAACGGTACTCGGTTATTTCGATGAAGAGACCTTTTCCGACGTTTATACTGAAATTTGGAACTTTCGAAGACTCATCCGGATATTAGTAGTATATATGTGGGATGTTTTGACTCAGTCTGACGTGTTCTGACTCACTTTCAGTCCGTTTCCCGATGCTAATCGCCATAGAGAAAAGGTGCTCGATCGAAAGTTTGTGTGGCAACGGTTTTTTCGATCGATACTCAGACTCGCAGCGGAGCTGAATATCGATCGGATTTTTCTATGGGAAATATTTTCTGACTCAGTTTAAAGTTGTTCGTTTTTGTTTGATTTCGCGCGCGCCCGTTGCCACTCGATCAGACTTTTCTATAACAAATATTGTCTGACTCAGTCTGATGCTGTTTCAATACATTATTTTTTTAAAAGTCGGAAATAAACATTTGATAGAAATGAAAATATAAATAAAAACTTACCGTGCTTGTGCAGTGCAGATTATCCTTAATGGTGCGGGCAGGGTGCGGCAGTGCGAAGCGTGGCGGGTGCGGCGTGCCAAGCGTGGTGGGTGCGAGACGTGGCGGTGCTGTTTATCTTTCTTGTGGAGGAGGTGGAAGCGTTGCCTCAAATGGCGAATAGCTCGCAGATCTCATGAGATAAATCTCTACCTCGCTAAAGTCCCTCCTATCGATTGGGCGATGAGGAAAACAACTATGTAAAAAATGAAGTATCTGCAAGTGCTGGATCGTTCTTTCAATCTCGATATTATTGATTGTGCGATTAGGAAAATAATTATTCATAAAATAAAGGATGTGCAAATGCCCAATCGTTCTTTCGATCTCGATAATTTGAGCTGTTGAAATAAATGTCATAAATATTTCACATAGATATGTATATTATTTTAAAAGAGAGAGATTAAAGATATAAACATACGTCTGCGACTCATGATGCTAAGTAATGAAGCACACTCTTTTTTGCAACAGTATTTATATGACTTTTCATCGGTCATTCCCTTTCATCCCCCGCATATTTATTTTGCACAGAATAAAAGGAACAGATGCTTATAACGGATGTGTGAATATTTATATTTTCAAAATTTGTCAACATGTGAGCATTAATTCTGGCCTTGGCAATGAGTTGGCGCAAAAGTCCCCCCGAGCCGAGGTCGAGGTTAAGATCGAACCTCGGAATCTTCCCGTGGATAAGAGCCGGAATGCTTGATTTTCTTGGAGCTTTCAGGGGAGTGGTGAAATCTTGTGTATCTAACTCTCGCAAGTTCTTTTGAATGCGATCATTAATCATGTTTAATAACACGAGTTTCGACACTATGAGGTAGGTCCTCATCATATCTCATTTTATTCAAATAATATGGCGACTCAGTTCTGTTCGGTAGCTGTTGGTATCCTCTCAGGAGTTCAAAATCGAGGCACTCTTCCTCATACATTTTCCTATCGAATTCCATTTTTTTTTGTTGAAAAAGAACTGAAAGATACTGATGATTGGCAAAAGACTAGAGCTCTATTTATATTACCCATCAGAATTCACCACCAGAGGGACAACCTATCAGAATTTACCCCCAGAGGGCCAACCTATCAGCATTTACCACCAGGGGGCCAACTTATCAGCATTCACCACCAGAGGGCCAATCCTTCATGCTATTTTTTACTTTATCATTTGAGAGATGGTATAAAACTGTATTTATACCTAGTTTTTTTTTAGCGAATTATGGATACACTCGATGATGGTTTTTATTTTGCAAATGCTTCTGTGTTAAGACTGTCAGTGTTTGGTGAATTTTATTTCAAACACAGTCTTGATGGAGGAACTTTGCAGTGGCTCCGCATGAACCCGTGTCTTGTGCTTCTCGAGATAAGTGATAATATTTTCTATATTTATCATTATGTAAAACATTGTCATTTCCGCACCCACTTAAACTTTTTTTACTTTATAGTTTTAAATATTGGAAAAGTTTCGAAATCAGTTTTATATGTCTGAAAATTGTCTAAAAGTCAGATTTGATGAAACGTCGACAGTGTTTTGAGTTTTTTAAAAAAAAAAAAAACTGTTAAACATTTAATTATAAGGACGTATTGATATTAATATGTTGATTTTGATCAGTTGATTACAAGATAAAACCTAATGATTTTCGACTGTTGATTTTGATGTAAAACTTGATGCTTTTAAAACCTATTGATTTGAAATAACATTTATTTTTTTTTAGTTTTAGAAAATGTTGGAAATTAGTTTTTCTGGGTATTGATGATTAGTGATTTTAAAATGAGTTTTGTTTTAAAAAAACTGTTCATTTTTGACTTGAAAACTGTTTATTTTGAAATAATAAACTGTTCATTTTGAAATAATAAACTGTTCATTTTGAAATAATAAACTGTTCATTTTCGACATGAAAACTGTTCATTTTGAAATAATAAACTGTTCATTTTTGACTTGAAAACTATTCATTTTGAAATAATAGATGCGGCCGGTGCGTCGTCGATTCTAAACGTACATGCATTCGAATAAACTTTTTAATTTAAATTGGGTATTTTAAAGTCAATACATTTCAATGATTTTTTTTAAACGGGTGATGAAGAACGAATCATTTTTTTAAATGCTTTTTAAGGAAGTAAACTAAAATGTTCAAGTTTCTGAAAAGGATCGTTTTTCTTAAAACCGTTCGAAACTAGTAAAATTGTTCGATTTGAATTTTCAACATTAAGTTTTAATCCAGAATGCATTGACCAGATTCGAATTCTCAACATAAAATGTAGAATGCAGTGATACTGAAACAAGTTTGTTGTTTTCAAGACAAAATGAAAAATAATTTTTTTACGTGTCCCGGATGCTTACAGATTATTTTTTTTCTCAAAATTAGTTTTTTTAAACATTCGGATTCTTTTTTGTATAACTCTGGATAATAGGATTAAAATAAAAAAATAAAAAATTTGCCCTTTTGCAGGAAGAAATCCAATAATTTACAATAATTTAAATGACACTCTTGGTGTGCTAATCCTCGTATGTATGTACTTTAAATGACAATGGTCCCTCACTTTTATTTCACCCTTTTTAAAGGTCTTGTTGTATATGTGACACACATTTGGATCGATATATACATCAGGATTGTCTCTCATAGGCGCTATACCCGTCATTTATTCCAAAATTTTGTTGGATATTTCTCTTAGCGTTATTAGAAACGTCTCTATTACGTTGGTACCCACATTAAATTCGTGAAAAATAGGATTTGAATCATTATCTGAAATAAGCATAGAATAACTGACCGGCTCGTGTCGTCCTACGTGCATAGTAAAACTTGTACTGGACGAAGGAGCAACCGAGTACAATTTTGTTGTCAAACACTCAAAATATGCTTACACTACATATGGATGCCATGACATTTTTGTTAAATTGGAAAATTTAAGCATCTGAGATTTTTTAGGCATAGAAATTTTTTGCGGTCTATTATTCAAACACATCCGCTTATGATATATCATGGTTTCGGGCCTTTGAAAGCTGCTTAAACAGCGTTTGCAATAATAGTGCCCCCCATTTTTTTCACACATGAAACGATTAAAATTTTTTATCCCCCCAAAAAATGATTTCTATAGAGTAACAAGTCAATTTCTATGAATGATTTTCTAAGTTTGCTGATTCGTATAGGTAAAACTTGATTATCTGCGAAACCGTAAACGTTTATCTTAAGATTGCAGCCATATGGAGATTGTGGTTCCAATAATATTTGGAGAACCCAACTTAGAAAACTTTTCTGAATTCCTTCACTTCGACAACGATGCCCTTTCCCATTTACGACAAAAGGCGGGATTTTCGTAGTTGTTTCTTTCTCGAGATTTAAATGGAAGACGAGTGCTGATTTTTTCCGTTTTGGTGCATTTTCAAATGGCCACTCAGTGGGACTTTTTTTAGCTATATATTCTTATTTTTTTACGATCATGAAATAAATATTATATCCTTTCATACATAAAAGATTACGAATTTCGCTGGCTAGGCGAATCCGCAATGCATCTCTCACGTGATACCCTTTCGAAAACCAGTGAACCACTATATTTCGAATCCATCTCATACCGAAGTGATTAAAGCTCCGGAAAGCTGGGCTGACGTCCCTCGTATCATTCTCGAGACGCAACTCTAGATCGATGAATCGCTTAAAGTCACCCCTCACCCGCCTCACCTCGGAGTAGCCTTCTGGGTCGAGGAATCGAAGCACTGGATGCGCCTCGTCCCCCTATTCCACGACCTCCGGCTCTCCCATCGACAACACCTCCTGAGGAAAACGACAGGATAGAAACACCTGATCCGCTGACTTTGGAACGAGATTACTCACAATAAAATGACTTGCCATCTGGAATCGACTCTATGTCAAAATATAACAGCCCCTCGGCGTGCAAACCCTTTTTATAGACACACAGAGGGCGCTCCAGTCATCATGACGCCATGGAGAGAGCGGGGCTTCCGGAACCCTTATTATCCTCAGTCTCGAGACGAAACTCTCGATCGATAAACCTCTTAAAAACACCCCTCACCCGGTCACCGGCGGGTATCATCTTTTAAATTAATATTAATTGTTACACCCCCAAACAAATCTTTAGATCCCCTGCTAGTGTTGACTTACCCGCATCGAAATCCCCAACCAACGGGAGCCATCTATTTTTAGGCTTCCCATTTTGAAATATATTTAACACGTTCATAACCAATCTCATTAAAGTCATTTTAAACTGCTGTTTGTAGAAAATGCAACACCATGAAAGAATCATCAGAATCAAATGAAATTTAATGCAGAAACGACTTGTACTGATACAAATAAATGATGAAATTTTCAAAACAAAAGAAACAAATTAAGCGTCCGAAATCAGTATTTGGTGCAGCCACNACTTTCGAAGACTCCTCCGGATATTCCAGGTCGAGGTTAAGATCGAACCTCGGAATCTTCCCGTGGAAAAGAGCCGGAATGCTTGATTTTCTTGGAGCTTTCAGTGAGCAAATTCAGAGTTATAAAATTTCCCTGCTGTATGGGCAAGATTTATTCTCCACACACCATCTGTTGATGCATTTTTCGTGGAAATAGTGCCCACATTTCAATATCGCAGGGCTGAACATGGGGTTGAAACAGATGGAACA